CAGAAACAGAAACAGCAGCGCCGTGCAGGCTACTCCAAGGAGTATGGGACTGCGGACATAGAAAGTTGGAGAACTCACGGAGTTTGCAGAACTAGCCTGCGAGCGTGAAGGGCAGAGCTGCTATGGCGAATTCGCTGAGACGGTGGAGTACTAGTAGGCGAACTTCGCTGGGGAGGGTGTCCCAGAGGATGGCACCACAGTGCAATGGACTGACCGGGCTAGCGGGAGGCGCAAACCCTGTACTGGAGGCGAGTGGTGTTTCCAGGAGCTCTTTGAAACTTGTCCTGGAGGTCTGGGCTGGCGCGATTGTGCTAGCAACGCCACACAAACCTCAGCATCTTCTGCTTGTGCAGCTCCTGAAAACCGTAGAGCTGCAAGCTGGTCAGGAGGGTGTAGCATTAGAGCAGGGTGGCTGGCCAAACACTGCCCTGGCAGCTTGGTTTTGCAGAACTTGCAAGCCAGAGACTTGCTCCCTGTCGCAGGCAGGCGAAAAATGCTGTCGACCCGTACAGCAGATCAGGCATGATGTTTTCATTCAGCGGCACTTCCGCCTGAATCTAACGCTTGTATCCCCACTAGGCTCCTGCGGATTATGGTCGCGAAATCATGTGCTTTCAGCACATTCTCGCATTATGCTCGCAAAATCCTCGTATTATGCTTTGGCACGGGGGGATACATATTCACTTTGTTGTACTTATGGAGCCTCAAAGTTCGGAAAATGGTGCATTTTCGTACTTGCAAGTGGTCATAAGTAGGGTCCAGCGGATAATGCTCCGAAAATGTTCGTATAATGCTAACCATAATGCTCCAAAAACTGCCTTATAATGCTGATTATAATGCTTCGGCAAGGGATATAATGCTCCTCGTTTGGTATAAAAATAGAAGAAAGTCTGCACATTGTCAAACTTCCAGGAAACTATGCATATCGTCGATCAGCATCTGAAGCTGCCACCTTATCTCTCACGAGCTCCACCACTTTTTAGCACTATAAGACATGATCGCTTCTCCATTGATTGCTCTCCATTCCAACTTTGATGCAAGGTTGGGGCAGAATAGTCGGTGTATCAAATATTTCCCCTAATTATCCATGTAGTGAGAGATGAAACCATTATTGCAGGCAGTCATTCATTGTTGGGATGGAGTTAATCTTGGCAAATAGTATTCCTGCCTGCAGACAAGCTGTCACTGCGTCCACTCTGTGAATAATGTCTTCATCTGAAACACCAGACGCGAGGCCAGCTCCTGAGATCTGATCTCAGATGGAGAGCCCTCCCATTTGCTGAAATCCTGAAAACACGTGGTCAGAAGTTATTTTGCCACTCTACATCCTTTGCTTGTGCTCTCATCTTCTCCTTGAGATGGTGTGTAGACGTATGGCTTGCCACTATACTCCTCCTTTCTGATATCATTTGACTGTGGGCCTGGCATTACTACCGTCAACAACTAACTGTACGTGCTTCATCAGGAAAGTAAGACAGGCGCTGCTGAGCAATCGACTTGGTAATGAGTCCATGAGAAATTCTAGTTCTTTTCGAGCCTCCTCAGCTGAACTCGGCAAAGGCAGTTCTTTTGGAACGAGCTATTTCTGTTCAGTATAGCCGCTCCTTCATCCTGGTCCAAATTTAGCAATGCATCAGTGTCTACTTCAGTATCGCTAGAGATGCTATCGCCAGAGCCTCTGGCACAACTAGAAAACTCTTCTTCGTCTGTTTGATATTCACTTCGCGTATGTCTCCTCCATAGCTCTCCATTATTCTAAAAGTAAAAGAAACCTCGTAAATAATTTCTCCGGATTTGTGTCACTTGAACCGCCTCGGCGTCGGTTCGGCATGCTTCACAAATGGCTTGTATACATTTACCTGACCACATCGCTACAATCATAACGTTTTTATGTAGCAATAGTTATGTAGTGTTAGTGCTAAAGGTGTTACGTGTCTACACAATCACAAAGTCATGCACCCGCACAATACATAGTGCTCAAATGCCCGGAATGGGCGGAGCGTAGTTCGCAATAGGTACACAAAAGGAGTAAAATAGGGGTGTTTCGTTGTTACTCAGAGTTTCATGGCAAAAACCAATCATCAGACAACATCTCATGATCATTATTGTAGCCGATTGTTGCCAAAAACCTGGGATTTCCCTATAATTTATTATCCACTATGAAACTCGTTATGCCGCTCAAACCTCACATAATGCTCGTTTTGTTCCTTTCTAATGCTCCATAATGCTCTGATGCTCGGATAGTCGTATAATGCCGAATATAATGCCGGCATTATCCGCTGGACCCTAGCCATAAGTACAACAAAATGTTACATGAGTATCCCTATACCAAGGTGTCCATACAATCATGCTAGAGATCAGATCAACATGGAAAAGAGAAAACATTACTTATTGGAAAGGCTTCCTGTCTGAAGCCTTTCCATACTGGTACTCGATGTTCCAGTTTTGTGACACGAGAATGGCACGAGAATTAGTGTACCGCTGAGTGTACCGCTATACACGTGGTCGACACGTAGTCGACACGTTGTTGATACTTTTTTGACACGTGACCCCGTCAACGGTCTGCTTTGTGCCAATGCCACTCGGTAAACGCCGATGTCGCGTACGACAAAGACGACTATCCCGTACGCGAAATAGTTGAGAATTGCATGACGTGGACCTGACGGCAAGGACAACTGCGAGGAGGCCCCTTTCGGTACCCCTGACGGGAAGGAGAACTGCAGAATTCGACGAAGTCGAACGAGGAGGCCCCTTTTCCGTACCCCATACTGCAAAGTGCCATTGATGGATACCTTTTGGACCTGGAACGACCCCTTAAACGCTGTCGCGGCGACTATCCCGTACGCGAAATAGTTGAGAACTGCTGACGTGGACCTTTTGCACCTGGAACAGCCCCGTAAACGCTGTCGTGTCGGCGGAGTGAATGTGCAGGGTACTAGGGTGAAAAGAATTGCTGCAAAGACGTCCCCTCTACTAGGCTCTAGGCCTTTGCCTTTGGAGATGTATGTATGTAGAAGTTTATTTAACGTCGCACCACAAACAGGCGATTTCGCCTCCTTTGATACATGTGGACGACAGGAGATATGGCGAACTGAATGCGCAGGGCGAAAAGAATTGCTGCAAAGACGTCCGCTCTAGGCCTTTGGAGACATCGTGGGAACTCCTTCCGGTACTATACAAACTGCTGACGTGGCCGTGGACATGTACATGGAGAGTCATGGTGGGACTTCATGTACATGGATACATGGTGGGAATTCCTTCCGGCACCCCCGTACCGCAAAGCCAACGGTGGGGAAGGAGAAGTGCAGACGTGCAGGAAGACGAACGAGGAGGAACCAGGACGAGCGAGCAATGGCAGGACTAGCTGGACCGTAAGTAATAGCTGAATTGTGCATGACAACTTGACATCCATGCGGCACTCGCCACTTGCCACTGCATATTTCTTGTCCACTAACAATGTCTCTCCTCTGCCCCCTGTGTGTCCACGGCCCTGTTGCTGAATTGGCCCGATGAATCGAATGTCTTCCGCAACTGGAACGGCCCCGTGAACACTGTCGCGTCGGCGACTGAATGCGCAGGAGGGAAAATATTGCTGCGAAGACGTCTCCTCTAGACGACGGTAAGGCACCCCATTGATATGTTGCCAGTGTGTGCCAGGGTATCGCGCGATGGTGAATGAGGAATGATGAAGGGTACGGTGGGACTGTAGACCTGTTACCTTCTACTAACACGTTATCAGGTGGAGGGTGTCTTGTACTCACGTTATCAGGTCGAGAGCAGTTTTGTGACACGAGAATGGCACGAGAATTAGTGTACCGCTGAGTGTACCGCTATACACGTGGTCGACACGTAGTCGACACGTTGTTGATACTTTTTTGACACGTGACCCCGTCAACGGTCTGCTTTGTGCCAATGCCACTCGGTAAACGCCGATGTCGCGTACGACAAAGACGACTATCCCGTACGCGAAATAGTTGAGAATTGCATGACGTGGACCTGACGGCAAGGACAACTGCGAGGAGGCCCCTTTCGGTACCCCTGACGGGAAGGAGAACTGCAGAATTCGACGAAGTCGAACGAGGAGGCCCCTTTTCCGTACCCCATACTGCAAAGTGCCATTGATGGATACCTTTTGGACCTGGAACGACCCCTTAAACTGTCCCTCCAGGAACTTGCGATTCCGCGGCCGCGTTGTTTTCCGCGATTTGAACAAAAGTCCGTGATATCCGCGATATTTGAAAAATCATCCGCGTTATTGTAGAAAACTGTCCTTGATACTTGAAAAGCACCGCGATATTTCGAAAAGCAACCGCGATATTCGAGTCTTTCTTCGATGTTGTTTAGTTCTTGAAGCTCGTCAGTAGTTTACTTGTGAGATCGACACCAGAATGGAGAAGTTTCTGGGCAAATCAGCGGCTGACAAGTCACAAAATAAGGCTCGCGTCGAGTGTTGTCCGAGGATGGAGGAAAGCTGTCTTGCAAGCTCTTGTCAGGCGGTCGAACACAGACAGTCAGCGCAGCACACGTTCTGTTTTGTCATGCATGATTTATGCTGTACGACTCGTACATCGTACACCACTACAGTACAGTATAGTACAAGTAGCAAATCGGCCGCAATTTCACCACAATAATCCCGCAATATTTGACAAAATCCGCAATATTCCCCGCAATTTGTGGCATGTTACCTCGCAACTTTTTCCGCGATATTTCCGAAATGTCTCCGCAAGTTTCTGGAGGGACAGCTTAAACGCTGTCGCGGCGACTATCCCGTACGCGAAATAGTTGAGAACTGCTGACGTGGACCTTTTGCACCTGGAACAGCCCCGTAAACGCTGTCGTGTCGGCGGAGTGAATGTGCAGGGTACTAGGGTGAAAAGAATTGCTGCAAAGACGTCCCCTCTACTAGGCTCTAGGCCTTTGCCTTTGGAGATGTATGTATGTAGAAGTTTATTTAACGTCGCACCACAAACAGGCGATTTCGCCTCCTTTGATACATGTGGACGACAGGAGATATGGCGAACTGAATGCGCAGGGCGAAAAGAATTGCTGCAAAGACGTCCGCTCTAGGCCTTTGGAGACATCGTGGGAACTCCTTCCGGTACTATACAAACTGCTGACGTGGCCGTGGACATGTACATGGAGAGTCATGGTGGGACTTCATGTACATGGATACATGGTGGGAATTCCTTCCGGCACCCCCGTACCGCAAAGCCAACGGTGGGGAAGGAGAAGTGCAGACGTGCAGGAAGACGAACGAGGAGGAACCAGGACGAGCGAGCAATGGCAGGACTAGCTGGACCGTAAGTAATAGCTGAATTGTGCATGACAACTTGACATCCATGCGGCACTCGCCACTTGCCACTGCATATTTCTTGTCCACTAACAATGTCTCTCCTCTGCCCCCTGTGTGTCCACGGCCCTGTTGCTGAATTGGCCCGATGAATCGAATGTCTTCCGCAACTGGAACGGCCCCGTGAACACTGTCGCGTCGGCGACTGAATGCGCAGGAGGGAAAATATTGCTGCGAAGACGTCTCCTCTAGACGACGGTAAGGCACCCCATTGATATGTTGCCAGTGTGTGCCAGGGTATCGCGCGATGGTGAATGAGGAATGATGAAGGGTACGGTGGGACTGTAGACCTGTTACCTTCTACTAACACGTTATCAGGTGGAGGGTGTCTTGTACTCACGTTATCAGGTCGAGAGCGTATTGTAGTCACTCTCTCTATTCCTGTACTTCATTACGTTTAAGGTCAGTGTCTGCTCCAGGATTGTAGGACAGCCGGGTACACGTGTACCTGGCGCAACCATTTCAACCGGGTGGGAGCCCGGTACACATGTACGCCCAATGATCTAAAGGCGAATGGATAAGCCGCATTTAGAAAAGAGAGGACAGGAATTAGAAAATTACGAAAGAAGAAGAAGTATCTGACACATACAAGCCATGTAGTCAGTCCTTTCAAAGTTCGAAAGTGTAAAGTACCAACCGGGTCACAGGTGACCCGGTACTATATTTTCAACCGGGTCCAAGCGCCGCCCAACCGGGTGGATTACCCGGCTCACCCGGCGCTGGAGCAGACACTGAAGGTGTACGTATAACTTCTCAAAAAAATTTAATGGTCTACAGTCGTGTCGGAAGGGTACGGTGGGACTGTAGACATGTTACCTTCTAACACGTTATCAGGTGGAGAGTGTCTTGTACTCACGTTATCACTATATCAGGTCGAGAGCGTATTGTGGTCACTCTCTCTATTCCTGTACTTCATTACGTTTCAGGTGTACGTATAACTTTTCCAAAAAATTTAATGGTTCACGTCTTCAGATAGAGAGCGTATTGCACCCACTGTCTAGTCTCTGTAGTGCATTGAGATTTTGTTGATCGAACATGAAATGGATACACAGACAAAGCCAGGCCAAGTACATGGCGAGATGTCGCCAGAAGAACGTCTTCAGGTAGAGAGCGTATTGCACCCACTGTCTAGTCGATTTTGTGGATCGCACATGAAATGGATCATGTGACACAGACAAAGCAGGCCAAGTACATGAGAGAGTGGACGATGTGCAGATCGACACGGCCTGCGGGTACTTCATTAAAGTTACCCGTGACATAACTAGGATAAAAGTTAATCACTGCAAAAACATTGCCAAGTATGTGAGCACTTTGGACTTGACAGAAGAGTGCACGGGCGACGTTGACAAAACATACTGCGGTGCCTGTCACTATCATGACAGCAGGGCACATCGCACGCAGCATCGCAGATCGTGTCGAATTGCGCATCATAATATTGCAATATTGCTCCTGTGCATGCAAGTGGATTTCATTGCACTTCTCAGTTTGGGAAATGCTCGATTATGACAATTCTCCGTGTGAGTGCACTAGCCCTGAACAGACATGTAGGTGAACCGTTTGTGGTGTCTCATAGCCTACCTCACGACCTTCTGCTTTCTTTCTTCATCACTTGTATCTTGCAGGTATATCATCCCGTGACGACCACATTGAAGTCTGAATTTGAAGTGGGAAGATGCTTCAGCAACCACATCGTACTTTTCCAATGCTTTCATTGTGCTTCTACTGTGCATGTGTGTAACTTGTGGGGTAAACATGTGATGACATTGTATGCTGGCGACACGGTCAGATGTTCATGCGTCTAACGTACACCTGCATGTTATGCATTGAAAAGGGTTTGCCACTTGCGATCCTGGGACGAGTATCAGGTCCGCTTTGTCCTGTGTGGGCTGTATCAGATTGCTGTTCACTTCTCTATCTGTTGGATATGTGACTTTCTACAAGTTTCTGGTGTATGATGGCCACGTCCTTGCTTGTCACTTTGTATGATATTACCTTCTGTATTCGCTGCTTCCATGGCATGGTCTGCAAACTGCAATCCTTGGGCAAATGTCATGTTTGCTATGTTGTGCTTTGGCCGTCAGCTTGTCTACACGCTGTAGTTGAATTATTTTTGTTTCACAACTGACTTCCTCAAGTACGGTGGCCACTGCTTTGCATGGCATTATACATGAAGAATTTCCTGTTTGTGTCGTGTGCATGTGCGTATGTGTGCGTGGCCACGTGTGTGTGCCGTGTGCATACACATGTTTGTGTATCTGTGTGCGGGGTAGCGAGGCGGGGAGGGCTGGTATGTATCAGTGTGTTATTGCAGTCGCATGGCTACATACAGTACATCGCGCGCGTGGTCATCATGTTTACCTTCGGGGTTGGGGTGGGGAGGGAACGGAAAAAGACCTGAAATTATCCATATAAAAATCGCTCTGTGAGCGGTTCTGAAAAACCTTTACTGGTACTGCCCCGTCGTAAAAGTAAGAAATTAGAACTGGCCCATTGTCCCCCCAAATGCGAACTGATCCACCTAAATCGCGAATGACGGGACCCGAACGCACCAGTAGCACGAGGTTCCTACCTGTGGATGCAGATGGGGACGTACGTTGGTCCGGACCATAGGCCATGTACTGTACTAGCGGTAGGCTTCCCTATCAAAATAATAAATTCTACTGCTACTACTGGTGTTACCCTATGATAATTGCCGTGATCCTGTGCCCTCCCGACCTCGTGCTACTGGTGCGTTCGGGTCCCGTCATTCGCGATTTAGGTGGATCAGTTCGCATTTGGGGGGACAATGGGCCAGTTCTAATTTCTTACTTTTACGACGGGGCAGTACCAGTAAAGGTTTTTCAGAACCGCTCACAGAGCGATTTTTATATGGATAATTCTATTCATAAGGCAATAAGCAGAATCAGCGAAGCGGACATTGGACGTAGTCATGACCAAAAATAAAAGATGGATAAAAAAGTTGGACTTTTTTATCCATCTTTTATTTTTGTTCATGACTAACAAAAATAACAGATGGATAAAAAAATTGGACTTTTTTATCCATCTTTTATCACATGGCACGTGATTGTTGCCCGTACTCCAGCGAATCAGCACCTTTCGCGCCGCGGGCAATAATATGCGATATTGCCCGCAAAAATATAGTTTATTTGCCCGCAAAAAAATAGTTTATTTCAGTGATCGCGTGACTACGACGACTCTGTAGACTGTACGACTCTACGACGAGTCGCAGTGTAGCATTGAGACGAAGATGGAATTCTTTTTGGAGATGGACATCCCGGCAATGGACATGGCCTCGGACGGCTGCCGTGTGGTGCTTGCAGGGATCATTTGTTCAGTCATGTTGGCAGCCTGACCGTCGGTAAGCTTGTGGATAAGATTCAGTTCTGCTCGAAGTGGTACTGTGATCACAAACAATTATTTGAAATAACACAAATTCAACTCAGCGTCGTGCGTTTTCAAATCCTCGCAAAGTCACTGCCTGTGTGTGGTCTTCATGTGCCACGCAAAACTCTTACCAGGCTCATCTGTCCTCTGCCTTCACCTTTGCTTGAACAACAAACACGACAATTCAGGAATGTTTTGCAATGAAAAATACAGCTATCTGGAGCTGAAAAAAAGAAGAAAAATTGTCCTCAAAATTACACACCAGGGAGTCGTCAAATACTTGCACTTGTTGCAGTACTGTATTTGACAACTTCCTGATACACATGTAAACATGAAGAAACTCTTTGTGGTAGCACTCTTAATTTTTCAACTGAAATCATGATTCTGTTATACGCACCCCCATATTTGGATCCCGACCCCGGCATGATTCCATTACCCCTAGCCCTGCATGCAGTAATTCGTACACATTCCATTACCCCCTACCCCTAGCCCTGCATGCAGTAATTCGTACACATTCCATTACCCCCTACCCCTAGCCCTGCATGCAGAGATTCGTACACATTCCATTACCCCCTACCCCTAGCCTTGCATGCAGTAGTTCGTACGTACACACTTATAACCATATTTGACCCATTTCCCCGCTGCCCCTGCATGTTATAATTAGTACCGTACACATTTGTAGCCCGTTTTCCCTCCTTCTGCCCCTGCACATAAAAACCACCGTACATTTGATCTAATTACATCCCTTTATAGTGTACATAGTCGGGCTATACACATAATAATGCGCGCCCAGCTAAAAGGGGCGCGCTCATGCATTGCACCGTACATTCTATTCTAGTTCACTCTAAGATAACCAAACTTCGATAATCTAGTCAGAAGTCGAATCCACTCCCTAATGTTGATGTCGAATAATTCTGTCCTCGTCCTGTGAGATAATATATACTTTACCGACTCTCGTAAACTGGTATCTCTGGTGTGAAGCAATAACGGAAACCCGAATAGACAACACCCCTTTTATAGACAACATTGTGAATTGACAACATTGGCGCCCAACTTTGGTTCCAATTACCCACTCCCTCCGCTCTACCGACTGCTCTAATGAATATTCCCGGTGCCTTTCACTTCCCCGCGTGAGTAACTTCGATAAGCTTGTGTATCATATTAGTCATAAGTGCTTCTGCCTACCGTTGTGTTCTTGTTCGTTTTCCTTTTGTGTTAATTGGTGTCCTTTTGTGGTGTTTCGGGTGCATCAGACTTATCAGCCTTACTGTCTAGTGTAGCATACTTAGTACGAACCTGTTCGGTCTTCCATATTTGATCTTGAAAAAAAAAAAAACTATTCAATATGTCAAGTCAATCTTCTTGGATAATGCCCCGTCCATTCTCCGGCAAAGAGAACGAGGATTTCGAAGCATTCTTATTAGATTTCGATAATGCTTGTGATGCCAATGGTTGGGATGATACTACCGTTCTGGCTCGGCCGGTCCGTCCAGCTCCCATAAGAACCCGAGGGGAAGCATCTGGTTCACACTATACGGTTACACCATCTCCTGTTACTTCTACCCCGGCCCCACCTAAAGAGGCTACATTTTATACTCGGTACTCTGAAGCTTGTTCGGACGGTCCTTACGCACCTGACGATATTCCAACACCAAAGATTCATTATGCTGATGATACAAAGTCCAAGTCTAGTGCCAGTAGTAGTAAGCCAGATGCCTCCCTCCCCACTAAAGACTATCAGTGTCCGGGTCCCCTTGGTCGTGGTTCAGATGTTGGGACCCCCGTTACTCATAACCCCTTTCTGACTGCTCTGGAGGCGAAGGATGAAGATGCTGCACGCAAACTTCACTGTAAACTTGTATTGTTAAAGAGGTCACTTCGTGACAGTGCTGCACGTTTTCTATTAAGTTTAACAGTGGTAGAATGTGGGCAGTATGACACCCTTCGCAAAATCCTTACTGAGCGATACATGCCAGTCGAAGCCCAGTACGTCCGTAGAACCCAGCTACGTACGAAACGCCGCCAACATGGGGAATCGTTGTCGACTTTAGCCGATGACATTCGTTTGTTGACAGCCAGGGCTTATCCCAGAGCAGGAGTACTAGAGAGGGATGATTATGCCATGGAATCTTTCATTCAGGCTTTGGGCGAGTCATTGCGTGCAAGGGTTAGGGATAGCCAACCTGAAACCATGCAGGATGCACTGCGTAGGGCTCTGTATTTGGAAGCACATTCATTTGCTGATGCCTCTGCCAGACATGAGCGTAATCATAGTCATGATCCGTACAGTGCAGCTGTGTCTTCTGTACGAGATGAGCGTCCCCCTGGGTCTGGTTCAAAGGGTAATAGTAGTACCTCCCGTGCACAGCAGTACAATAATGAACCTGATACGCTCACCCGTCTCTGTTTGGCAGTAGAGAAACTCGAGACTCGCCTGTCTGCCCCTGTTAGTACTTTTAATGGTGATCCCCATAAAGGCCGTAAACCCCAGTACGATCCTTCCCATAATGAACCTACCTCTAATTCTGCTCGCTCTTATGGCACAGGCCCGTCCCGTGGCTCAGTCCAGGGCCCACCTTCTTTTGAGTCTGGTTACCAGACCTCCCATCATGATAATTATGCTAGGCGTTATGACCCTCCCCGTGGCTCAGTCCAGGGCCCACCTTCCTTTGAGTCTGGTTATCAGCCCCCCTATCACGATAATTATGCTAGGCGTTATGACCCTCCTCGTGGCTCAGTCCCGGGTCCACCTTCTTTTGAGTCGGGTTATCACGATCACCCTATGCCACATGGTCCTCCCCGTAATTTTGATCATGATGAATCCTATGCTGCTCGTCCCGATCAAGGGATGGCTTATGGTCCCCCTCCACCCCGTAGTAAACAAGGTTCCGGGTATGGTCCTCCTCGTCATGGTCCCCGTCCACATAACAGTCGAGTTGAGTTTAGGGACAACAGGAATGGTTCTCGTCCTCCTGGCCCATCTTCCCACCCCACCCGCTTTCCTAATAGCCATTTAAACTAGTTACTGAGGCAGATTCTTCAAAGCTTGTCCGTAACTGTGATTATTCTACTCCATTTGAAGTTCCTGCCGATGACTCCGCTACACATAAGTATTCTAGTAATGAAAGCTTGTCAGTTTTCCCATCTGATAAGGATTCTAATTGTTCCAATAATTTTAAAAGTAAGGCTGATGGTTTGTTGCAGTCCGCTGTGCCCTTGAGTGATGCTGATTTTCATTCTGGGTATGACGAGGACTCACCTGTTGGTTATGAAGTGCTTGTGGATGAATCTCCGCGGGAAGCCCTTTATTCTAAGTATTTAGAGTGTTGTGATGATGACTTGGAGGCCCATGTTCCCCTTTTGCATGATGTTGAAGAAGATGAGGATGAACCCCTTCTTCCAGTTGTGCCTCCACGTCCTGTTTACAACACCCCCCAGAATAGTCTTAATGCCCTACAGATGTTGATGGATGAAAATACGGATGTAACACCCGTTTTGCCGCTCGACTCCGCTGTTCAATTATTCATGGCCGAGAATTTAGACGAAACGCCTGTTTTGCCTTTCTGGTCTCCGGTCCAAGTAATGATGGAAAGCAATTTTGATACCACGCCCGTGTTACCTGCTGAAAAAGTTGGTTTTCACGATGACTTATCTGACGATGAGGAATACCTCGACTTGACCATCCCTAATGTTTCTGCACGCTCTAACGGATTTTACGTATCCGGTACTTTTGAGTTCTCCAATACAGCTGATAATTCAATTACCCCTGTTCACATACGCCG